AGCGCCTCAGCCAATCAACGGCTATGCGAGTATCCACCACGCGCTATGCAAAAAAGCTATGCAACTGAGACTCGCTTGAGTCTCATCTGCAAGACGAAAGCAGTGCTCAAGAAGGCCAGTGCGACTGTCCCTCAACCCGCGGCGCTTTCCAGCGCGACTTGCTCCCTGCCATCACAAGTGTTATTGACAAAACAAACACGTCTGACTCAACAAAGAATTGAAATTGATGATAGCATCAAACCACCATAAAGTTGCCTGGCAGGGAAAGCCAGCAGTGATGCCGTCAATGGCACCAAGCCATGGTTTCCCATCGAGGGATTCTACATCTGACAAGACGGGGACAGTCGGGAGATGTCCTTCCAGCATTCTGCTCATCAATACCTCCCGACAATCCTCATCCTCTCAACCTCATCAATATCTCTCTCCCATCAGTGGGGGATAGTGCGACTAGTGAGGCCATCTAAGGAATTGACAGCTAGCCGCATCTGACAGAACCTGGGCCACAGGAATCCAGACCTCCACAACAGCTTCTCTTGATGACGGGGCCCAGACCGAGATGCCCCCAGCTCAAGGCAACCAACGCCGGTGAATAGGCTCATCACCCTGTGCTTCTTTGCCTGCGTCTCCAAACACGAAAACTTTGGTTTTGTCATTGGACAAGCTCGAACCTCCTGGCGAGAGAACATCCAGGGGCAACTACGCCGCACAGCTGTCTTCGTCACAGAGCCGATGGATGGGTTGGTCCAATTGACTGGTAGGCCTGAGTCGAATATATCTCGACGTGAGCGATGAACAAAACAGTCGTGAGAAAGTTTGACATTTGAGGTTAGAGCCAGCCATATGTTCAGCCAAAGTTGGCGAGACATACTTACCGGGCAATTTCGAAGACTTCCTGCATGATTCCTGATAGTCTCGCCAATGGAACACTTGGGTCGCAAAGTCCTGCCAAAAGAAGTTCAAGACCTGCAACACCTTCAGCCTCTCATCAATGTCCAAAGCATATAAGGCTATGTACACTTCCGTACTCAAGATTTGAAACACAAAGCCGGTCCCCTGACCCCCTTTCCGATAGAAAACTGCGGTTGGCTGTCGTCGTTGCTGAAAAGCAGCCTCAGGAAGAGCTTGCATAGTCAATGCCAACTCCAGTTTGATGATGTTTATTACATTGAGTTGAGCTTAAGGCGTATGCAGCCCCATGATGACTTGGTGATGGTTTTCTTTGTCACAAGCTTCCCCTTTGTTGGCAACTTTGCCGCTTTCTTTGGCCTCTTCGAAACCTAAAGGAAACCAAGGGAAGATGCAAACAAACATATGCAGAACATGTTTGTTCCAAACGTGCGCTATCCTTTAAATTTGCTGCATTTAAGCAACAAGCAAGATGTTCAACCTTTTCCTAGGCTTTTGTGGCATGCATCCAGGCTTGAACGATCGAGGCTTCTCTTGTGGTGTTCGGCTGAGGCCAAACTTGATGATCTTCTGAGCCTGCCAAGGCACCAAAACGCACACTGGACAGGGCAAGGGGACAATTCAAGTTTGTTTAGTAGTTGTGGGTAGGATGTGCTGCTGGACTTGAACTCTTGATACCTTAGCCTGAGGAGCAGCTGGTGCTCGGGGGATCTCATCACCAGAACTTGGTTGCGGAACATATTCACTTGGCTGTGTGTAAACCAGGTTTCTGATGAAATACTCTGAGCCGGGAACTCGCTAAGATTCGCGACATCCGGGAGCTTCATGATGCAAGCCGGTGCAGAGCGGATTGAAGCCACCCAAACAATGTCTTGAGACAAAAATTGTAATAACCAAGAATAGTTCTCTCGCATGTTGCAGCTTCAAAGGACCATGCTAGGCTTCTCAAACCCCTTTCACTACAAGACACGAAACTTTTTTTCCCCCTTCAAATCCCCATGTAGATGGCGCAATGACAGGCCATCTAAACCCCTCCAAGATCGATCTAAGTTGACCCATGTCAATTGACACCGGGATCACAGGTTGCAAGATTGAAAGCGCAATCGATCTCACAAAGAAGAAATTCAAATGAGCTTCCGCCATCTTTCATCAATAGATATGCAGAGCACATCACATTAGCAGCGCAATTGAGGGCACCCTTTGGAAAGGCAATGGCCTCTGGAGTGGATAGATATTCCTTCACCTGGGCGAAAGACACCCCTCAAAAATGCATGACATGGATTTGGTCTGGGCCCTCTACTCGCTGGTTCACTTCGGAAGCAAAAGTTGTTTTGTCCATGCCGTCCTTACAAACAAACATTCTCTCGAAGACGGAATCTGCCCCGAAAGCAACCCTCAGGTCGACACCTGGATGTCTGAGTCCGAGTCAGCTTGGGTGGCCTTCAAGGAAAGAATAGTAAGTGCATGTGCCACCAAAATTGCACTCACCAGATGCAATTGTTGTATTGATAGGTGGTAGATACTGATAGGTCACACCTGAAAGTCTTTGTACGAGCTCGTTTGGTACGCCTCAGGCTTGCATGTGGTGATAACTTCAGACCACCTAGAGTATTCCATATGTTCCCAACTAAATATGGATGCACTTGCCGGATATGGCAAAAACCAAGTGTCAGACTCGCAAGTTTGGATTCTGAACTTCCTCGAGGATTGTCCGAGTCCTGGGCAATGATACATTCTTACCCTGATTCAAAACACCGCGTTCTTGCTTGCCAGTTGTCTCACAAGTATTACAGCTTTTCACTTCGGCAAGGCTGAGAGGTTGGCAAAGGCGACCAGTCAAGGATGGCGTTCTGCAACAAGTTGCAACAAGTCTTTCAGAAGTTTTGGTAAGGGTTTCATAGCAACTCGGTGGCCTTGCGAACCAAGCCAGCTTCACTTCGGACCTCAGAAAAGTGGCGCTGCAGAAGGGGTTGGGAAGAAATGAAAAGTGAAAGTTGTCATGTTGGGGCGAAGGCAGGTGCGGGTGACCGCTTTGGGGTTCTTGAACGGCTAGAAGATGACGAAGACACCTGTTCAGTTTTGCAGTACCCCATATTTGAACAAAAACTGCAAAGGCCTGTCTTGACATTGATGGGCAAAATCTCTGAGATCCTGGAGAAAACTTAATCTAGTAGTGGAACGATGCTTTCAATCATCTCGCCTTCCCCACCAACTGTTCTCCAGAAAAACCTCAGGCCGATTTCCAGAGTGGAACTCAACACTAATGAGGAGTCACAAGTACCCGACTTCCAGAAAATATCTGATGGCGGCAAAAACTCTTCGAGCCGAATCAGCAATGTTCATATGGGTTCAACTTGACTTGTGAATGCACGCGGAAGCAGCTGTGCTTTAAGTCGATTGAACCAGTGAAAGCACACCCGCCACGGGGACCCGAGCTTGCCTTCTTTCGTCTTCTCAGCAATCCTGAGGTTGAGAGCGCAATGAGTGCTTTGGAGATTTGGTCTCACAGGGGCCAGAAAAGGTCCAATATGGCCCAACAGGTTCATGCCTCTTCAATTCAGGCCTCTTCAAACTCTTTGTGTAGGTTTCCATGAAGATGCGATTTCTTGGCCCCCCCGCTTCTCTCACCATGGCTTACGCAGCCTCTCAGTGTGACTGTGCTGGGCGGCACAGGGAGGAAGGATATTGTTTGCCCAAAAAACAGTTGCACAACTTTTTTTGAAGAGCTGGCAGTATGATCTCACTTGGGAGGATATATCCTACCTGGAAAGAAGGTTTCACAACAAGATCTATTCGACTTGACTGACATGGGGAATCGAAAAAGGGAGGCAAGCCTCCCGCAGTGAGGTTCTTCAGTGAGCAACGGGGTAAGATGATGTGGTTTGAGAGACAGCTCATCTCATAAGTGGTATAGTTCCACAAAAAAACATCATCTCAAACCAAAGTGGCGATTCAAGCGGTGTCCTGCCTGGGAGAGACCCATGGAGATTCCATGGGTGGTGCGTTGAACCAGCGAAAAAACATTACATAACATTACCTTCTAGGCCTTTTGTCGTAAAATTGTTCTGGGTAGCCTCCTATGCCTTTGCTACATAGCCTACTAGGCCTTCTAAAACATACAGATTGTGCTGTAAATGTTGCCTTCTAGGTCTTAAACTTAGCATAACTTAATGGCAAAAGGCAAGTGAGCTACGAGCCCAATATTGCCAAGCGCGCTTCTGTTCAGCACAGGGCTTCTCAATTGATGAATCCCTGGGTAAAGTTATTGATCCAAAAACAATCCCTACTCCCATGAAACTTTGCATGGTGTAGGCCACATATGGTTGTTCCTGTTGCTTTTAACGTCTAAAAAAGCACCACACAGACGCTCGATGTTCAATTATAAGTAACCCAAAGTGATTGAAATACCCGGATGATACACCCCAACACGTTACTTGCTTTCTCACAAGACACTCCAATGGCCATTTGTTCAGCCATGTTTGCACAGCTTTCTTTCTCGCAAGTTCGGTTAGCCATACTTGTCCAAGTCCAACGTTTTTGGTCAGTTGTTTGGCCGTGCTTGTCCAACTTTCTTGGTCAGTTGTTGCGCCATGCTTGCTCAACTTTCTTGGTCAGTTGTTGTGGCACGCTGGTCAATGGTAGCAGAAAATCCAAACACCTGGATGCAAAGCAAACACCTGAACAAGAGGAATTGGAAATTTCTATGACCCTGCTCTTCCTCGGGTCGATGCTGGAACAATGGCTGCAGCTATGGGTGATCCAGCCACTTTCCTTGGTAGGGTGAAGGCGAGCAGCTGCTAAAGCAAACATTGGTGCACTTGACTGTCACTCTGTGTGAGGCAGTTTGATTCTAATATATTATCACCTATTCAATCCAAGGCCAATGGCTACTACGTGGAAACTCAAATCGATCAAGAAGACCCGACTTTGGAGGCCAGGATTTCACAATATCTTACCTTGAAGGCTGTGTCTTTCTTATGATTGATGCTGTTCCAATGTTGTATGTTGATGGATGTGTATTAAGCAGCGCGACTGAAAATGCTCTCTCTCAGGTGGCCATTGAACCTCATGATGGCTGTCAGCTTGCCACACCCATGGTCGAGGTGCCACTTGCTGTGGTCAGAAGTCTGAAGGCTACACTTGATGCATATTCCATTCTGGAGGACAGTGTATCACGGGCAGAGGCTGCAAACCAGGCTATGATGGATGCAATCACTGCTGTTGCGCCCCAAGAGCCTGAAGAGCCCCAAGAGGTTGCAAGCAGCCCTGAAGCCAAAAGGCTGTCAGAGTCAGAGAGGCACCGTCTCTTCCAACAATGTGAGAAACTGGAGGGGATCCTACATGAGCGTGAGGTGGCCAAGGCTACAAAGGAGAAACGCCGAAAGGCTATGGCCAAGCAGAAACCCAAAGCAGTGGCCAAGAAGAAAGCCCAATGCAAGCCAAAGGCAAAAGCAAAGGCACGGAGCGCTGCTGCAAAGCGCAGGGGAGCTGCCAAAAAGAAGGAAGTGGCAAAGAAAGACACAAAGTCAAAGGAGAAGAACAAGGACAAGGGCAATGCCAAGAGCAAAAGGCAGGATGACACTTCGAAGAAGCTGCACAGTGTTCCTTGGCAAGAAATGTGTGTTGAAACGTGTGAATCAGTGCTGGTTGCTTCTACTGGCAGTTGATCTTTCCAAGGTCTACTCAAAATTTTGGCATGAAGCAGCTGCAGAAGGTCGAGACCCTGCAGAGCGGCGGCAGATTGCATGTGCTGCTCGCCGCCAGCCACTGGGCTGCATGTTGCTCGATGTTTCTTTTTCACTTGAATGTGCATTGGATCATAGGGTCATACTGAATGTGCATTGAAGCAATATGATATGATATGATATAACATGTCGCTATCTGAGGTGGATCTTGGACAATGCTCCAACCGACCCCAAATGCCAACGGTATTTGTGAGGCCGCCATAAGGGCGGATCTTTGCATCCAAGGCTCGATGTGTTTTGCACACGTTGGAGCGGCTTGATGGGAAAAAAGGCTGGCAGGCCGCGACAGTGCATGGACATGCCATGCAGTCATATATGAGGACCCACTCTCCCATAGGAAAGGACCCACTTACCATTGGATTAGTTTACAGGGAGTTGGACTTGAGTGGTTCAAGACTGAGGAATGATAGGGTTTTGTTGCGCTTTGCTTGGTGCTTGAGGTTGTGCCCTGACAAGAGGAATCTAAGACAACAAGTGCCAGACATGTGAGTTCACCATTGGCATGGTGAGTTGTGGAGACATGATGATGTCACTTTCGGACATGGCCGATTGTCCTCAACAAGTGCAGTCACCGTGCGATGTTTCTTTTTTTTTCCGAGGCAAAAGAGGCAAGCCTACGATGAGAAGTTGGCCAAGGACCGAGAACGAGAAGAACTGGTCGAAGGAGGTCCCAGTGGCGGCTACTCCAAGCAACAGGTTCAAGCTCCGATGGCTCGGGTGTCCAAGCAGCATGTAGTGTAATATACCCCGAAAAACTATCGATTACATACCAGGACCTTCCAAGAGGTGTCTATAAATAGCCCTTTTTAGAAGGTGATACAGGGCGTCCCCAAAACCACCGTTCTTGGACCAGTGCTGGTCTACGTATACTTTAAATTGGCTCAGTCCATATCCTTTTCCTTCACGAACGACCGGCGACCGGCTCCCGAGCAGGGCCTGGTCGACGGGTTCACACCGGCTCGCAGGTGAAGACAGCACCCACCTTCGGCTCGAAGAGACAAGGGCGGATGCGCACGGCGCAACCTGGAAGTGGCCCCTACTGTCCTCAGGAGTGGATCCTTAGCAGAGCTGAGCTCCAAACCAAACCAAACCAAATGCGGAGCGTCTTATTTGGGGTTCAGGTTGGTTTCAAGGCTGTTTCAGATGGGCCTAGGGGTCGCCGTATGTTGCTCTAGTAACTCTAATATGTTTGTCTCAATTGATGTTGGTTGGTTGGTTGGTTGGTTTGGTTTGGTTTGGTTGGTTGGTTGGCTGGTTGGTTGGGTGGTTTTGGTCTAAGCTTGAGGCTTGGTATTTCGCCCTAGCTTGGGGTGGAGCTGTTCAACCCGAACCGAGCCCCCCTGGCACCCACCCCAACGAACTTCTTCATTCCAGTAGTTGGAGCTCTGTACCGTTGTACCAATGGAGCTCTTGGAATTGACCAGTTCTCAGTTCAGGGAAGCGAACGTAGATGCTCACCAAGGAAAGGTATGGGCTCCGGGCAAGCCCTCCTGAAGATGCTCACGGATGATATCACTGCCGAAGAGAAGACTCAGAAACTCTTAGAACCTGGGCATCAATGAGTTGCTGGAAATGAATCGATGTACTGACGGATACGACAGAGTCTGTAATTTCAGCATGCTTCAGCTTTTGCAAAACGGCAGGACACTGAAAGACGAGCTGGGTCGCCACAAGGTCCAGAGATCCTTATGCGTCTCAGGGTCCAGTACTTGGTTGTTTCATTGCCATTCTTTCCTCTCTGAGGAACAATATGTGGCCCTTCCGCGCTGCAAGGAAAGACGGCAGGAATGGGCAAGTGGTCTTAGAGGCAAGGACAAGCAAGTTTCTGAGCAGCAAGCGGGTCGCCAGGCGCCAGGGTATTGATTGGATGTCGTTGGTAGCATCAGGGCCCTTGCAAGACACATGGGGCTGGAATACCTACTACTGTTTGCATCAAAGGAACAACATCATCCAATGAGCCAATGGTCCACTTCCACGTGAGTTGGAACGTAAGTGTTCATCAGTTGGAGCGTACTGTCATGTGTTGTTCAACATCTCCTTCAGCATGGTCCTGAGCGGACCACTCAGCAGTCCTGTGAACTTGTTTAAACGTTTATAATGTTTATACTTGGGATGATGAAACCCACTGACTCATACAACCTGGGTTGGTCCAAACCTGAAGCAGTCAGTAAACAAGAACATCACTATTTTGAACAAGCCCTTTACTAATGATTAAAAGCAACAATGTTGCTCAAGATGGAGCAACGGGTCCTTAGAACCATCCGCTAATTACAGTATTTGCTTTGTAATTTGTAACCCCTTGAGCTTCCTTTGGGTAGGGGCGATGGCCTCCAACCTAATAGCGATATATAGCGATGGCCTCCACCCTAGTAGCGATGGCCTCCAACACACTATCACCTGATGATTGGAGGTGGGAAAACATGTAGCTATTTGTTCCTAGTAGCTTCTTGTTACTAGTAGTAAGGCACCTGTTACTACTAGCGTGGCACTTGTTTCTACTAGCTTCTTGTTACTAGTAGTAAGGCACCTGTTACTAGAAGCGATGCACTTGTTCCTAGTAGCTATTTGTTCCTAGTACATGTCAATGTAGATTCAGCATCCGTGGCGTACGTACACACGTACACACGTACGCCTACGCGTTTGAAACGGGCAGCACCGAAACGGAATCGGTCTGCTCGTATTTCCGGGTGGTGGTCCGACCAGAGTGTTGGATTGAATCAGCTCTAGAACCGCTGGTCTGCAGATCAGCTCTAGAAGGTATCATGTCAATGGTTCAGCGAAAACCACGGACTGGGATGAAACAGCAATTCTGAGCTTTGAGGATCTCAAAGCAGCAGCGAAGAAGAAGGAACAGCAGGAGCAACTGTTGATACTTCCATTTGTCTTGCATGTTCCATGCTGACCTAGCTGAGGCTTGAACCAATGAGTCCTTAATTAAGCTACTCAACCAGCTACCAAACATTCCTCGACTTGATACTCCGGACTTGAGCCTAACACCCCCTATACTGGAGCGCATGGGGAGGTCATGGCCTGCGATTGTCGAACCCACTGAAGATTCCAGGGTGTCCTGCTACTTAGAGTACCGTGCTACAGGAGGTGCTGACATGATCTGTTTCGCGTTTTGGTACCGTGGTTTCGTGGTGAGCTAGCCAAGTTCACCAGGAGCGTGCCAAGTGGTCTGCGTGGCTCAGTAATGGCGTGCAAGCCGCCAAGGCTGACAGCAAGCCTAAGGCCAAGGCCACTGGATGAAGTGGGACACGGGCTGAGATGGAAGAAAGCCAGGATTTCACAACTTTGAAGTTGGTAGCACCACTAAAAAGTGAACAGGCGGAACACAGTCAACCTTTATTTTCCCGGGAAACGGGTCGGGAGTCAGGTGACACTCAATTCCAGATGACCGGATGGTTTTTACAACTGAAACGGGTGCACTCCTCTAGGGCTACAGGGTCACTCCTCTAGGGCACCTGAAAGGGTCATACTCCATGCATCGTCACTTGTCAATAGAGCCCTTGAGAAGTTGAAGAAATGTTTTTACTTTAGCTCACTGACATAGATAGTCCTCCGAACCCGGCTACCTCCATGTTAGTAAGTCGCAGCGTAACTCATTTCCAGCAAAAGGAGACGCCATTTTGGGTGACAAATTAAATTGCTTCAGCTGCTTGATGTTGTTGAGCATCTTATGAACATATCCATTGTCAATCACTCTACAAAAGCTTTCAAGTTGAATCCAATGCAGCAAGCACTACCTAGCGCCCAAAATGCTTTTGAGACACACCGGCATTTGGTTTCGCGTTTCGCAGTGCAACCTGGGTTGCATCCCCCTGAGGCCAAATCCAAGTCCAAGCCTACTCCAAAGCCGCGTCCCAGCAAGATTCTTGACTTATACGACTTGGACGGGATGGTTTGAGGCTGCCCAGGAATTTCAGCTACCAAAACAACAATATCATGCACTTAGAATTGGGGTAGCGCTCTACCATCATATGGACATCGCTTCTGTGTGAGAGTTGTTCAATGCACGTGTCAATGTGGCAGTTCAAAAACATGCTACTGCCACACATACCTGCATATCCGCCACACCCACTGACACACTCTTGACATACTCCCGCCACACCTTCTGACACACCCTTGACATACTTCCTAGTAGACTAGTAGACAAGAATGTGTGAACATTGATTTAGATAACATATATTAGTATTATATTCATAGTGATATAATGTTGATGTTTTCAGTGCAATATTCATCGCACAAATAGGCGACGGGTACACATCACTGGTTGAAGTGATGTATGATATTTGATGTCGTATGTATGTTTTGCGTATAGACCTGCCATGGAATTGGGTAGCAATCAAGACAAAATCAGAATAGGATCTACAATTTCAAAGTCAGGATCCAACACACGGAACCACCCCCGCTCTCCTCCCAAAAATCACCTCCTCCCCACCCTCCAAAGGGGTGGCCTGGCTGTCCCGGCTGTTTCCTGAATCATGGCACCACCGGTCCTTTGGTCCTTCGGATGTCAGGGTTTTGCCGGGAGTCCATGCCATCCACGTACTCCTTTTTTATTACATAAAGGCTAACCTTTTTGTTCCTAGTGTAGCGATGCCAGGAGCCCCTAGTATCGTCCTTGCTCCTAGTAGCGATGCCAGGAGCCCCTAGTAGCTTCCTGCTCCTAGAACCATGAGGATTTCACGTGAGATTTAGAAAGTGGTTTCAGAGTAGATGGCACAATCCCTAATGTCGGTGGTTATTTTTTGGACCCCCCTTCCAAAAGACATCTAGGCCATCGCTAGTGGGGTGGATGCCAATGCTACTAGGTTGGAGGCCATCGCTCTTAGAAACACAGAAAAAGGAAAAGGAGGAAAGGTCCCAACATAGATCCTCTTGTTTTGTGTGCTCCGCCCTCCAGGCCTGAGGACCTAGCGCCCGAGGAGTTGGCGCCGGATTCCGGGGCGGAGCCGCGGGTGGCCCAAACGGGCTAAGCCCCCGGAGAGCGAGGTCGAGCGATCGATCTGCCGCGCTCGCGATGCTAAGCCGAGCCAAAAAAAGAGAACGGACGTGGGCAGATGGACTCCATCTCAGATGGAGAGTTGGGGTGGGTGTTTTTTTGGGGGGTTCGGTCACAGGGGTGTGTTTTGGTATGTCCAATAGATCTTTCCAACACTACGGTACAGACAAATTAAACACGTTTAGACAATACAGTTTGTTATATTGCATTTTGCTTCCAGCGGTTCGCCTCAGAGATGGGGCCCAGATGATCCCGTTTTTGTGCGCCAAGAAACGGTGAACACTGAGCCGCCAAGCTGAACACCAAGACGTCATGTGATGTCGAAAAACAGTGCAGGATTGGAGGTCTCTCGTTGAGACCTCCCCTTCTGAACCATTTCAGTCCGCAGATCATCACCCAAGCCTGCCCCAGTTTTATAGAGGAAATTGCCTAAATGCCTTCATCTTCCAGCTATGGATCCCTACGGCATCTCGGGTTACTCTCCATCTCTACCGCCCAACTTGCATCCCAATCCAAGACTTGCAAGACTACCATCGATGTCTCGCCCTCTACCGCCCAACTTGCATCGACCATCCAGCCCGATATGTCCATCGATGAAGTCCCCGCCTGCTCGCCCCAGCCAAAAGCGAGGACTTTGGATTGATCACGGGTTCCAGAGCCTATGGCATGATGAGCTCCCTCGTGGTTCGTTTCGGCTTCTCGGGTGAAGAAAGGAAAGGGAAGAAAGGCTGAGAGATGTCGTTACACCAAGCTTGAGCTTATGCTGAGAGGAGGGTTGTATCATGGGATCCTCTTCAAAGCTCTGGGATTCCATGCATCAGATCTTTGGATGCCTAGGGGATGTCGGCTCCACGCCGACCATTGGATATAGATGTCATGGATGCAGGGAAACATGTTCCACCTAAATGCAACTTTGCTCAGATGCACCATTCTGAAAAGGGCTGCACCTTCGTTATCATATGCTTCAAAACTTCAATAGCTATGCCCCCAGGTTCCCCCACAACATTGACATGTTCCAAGTGAGAAACTCGGAGCATGTTTCGGATTCCTGAACAACTAGTACGTGAAGATTTGGGCATTGAAGCTGCATCCACTTCTGTTTTGTCAGCACGTCAGTCAGCACGTCCCATCCGGTTTGGCGACCCGTGGATGTGGTGAGATCCTGCTTGGAAGAGGATCGGAGGAAGCAGATGAGATGAATGAGTTGGGACTCGTGAGTTGGTCGATTTCGCTTCAGAGAAGACCAGCTGAAGCTGCTATGAGTTGGTATGTATGAGGCAATGAGTAGTTGGTATAGAGATGAAGCCTGATGAGATTCTTGAGGAATCCATTTCCTGAGACTTGTTGGATCGATCCAGACTTCTTTGGGAACCTCCGGCGGATCAGGAACGACATGAGCATTTTGAGCACAGGTACTGTAGTACTCGCCCACCACCAGCTGTTGGCTTCAATGCTCCACTTTCTTAGGTGAAGTGGTTCTACATCTGAGAAGCTTCTATACAGAACCTTCTCTATGTTTCTGACCCTCCACTGTCCTGTGATCTCTCCTTCTGCCTCCTGGTGCCACGTCCAAGGCCTTTCGACCTCCATGCCACCCCGGGGCCTCCTGACCTTGCGAGCGCCCAGTCACTCCCTCGGCCGGTGACCGGTTTCGTCGACCGTTGGAGGGACCCACAGAAAGTATGGTGTCTAATTAAACTTAAAGTAAATTAATAGCTTTTTGTTACTACTAGTAAGGCACTTGTTACTACTAGTAAGGTACCTGTTACTACTAGCGATGCACTTGTTACTAGTGTGTCCTCTTAAAGTTCAAAGATTATTTGATGTTTCTTGGATGTTTTTTTTTTTTAAACATGGCTATAGATCTATGCAGGAAACAATCACAGGAAGGCTAATGCAAGTATGTCTGTCGATGGTCCTGTTTCTTGAAGTCCGATTCCATCAATTTCCGATGTCCGTGGCCTGTGACCTTTGTTTGCGTGGTGCTTAATGAGAAAGGAATTTGTAGCTGTTCATTCAATAAGTTAAACTTTTTGTTCAATCCACGGAGGATGTTCAACGGTTAGGATGCCTATATATGTAGTATATACTCTTGGGATATCTCTTGGATGAGCCTTGGACATTCTGTCAAATTATGCAGGTGCATGTGAGCCTGACAATGCGGATTCGGCGCAGGAATAACTTTGTGCTTTGTGTGTGTGCGTGTTGCCTGGCAACTTGGAGTAGGCACCAAAGTTAACCTATTGCTACCACTTAAACATAAATTGGAGCTTGTGCCAATGAGATCAATCATGCACCGCTATTCAATCATAGCTATCTCCCGTTCTCACTTTCATATACAAGCACATTTTCATGACTTGGTGTTGGGCGTTGGAGCGACACTGGTAGTTTTCAGCAGTCGAACAAGCCAAGCTTCCTCCATGTCCAATCGGAGTGTTCCGTTCCTGGCCTTTGCCTCAGGTGGATATGGATTCCCCTTGGTGTGCGTCGGATTCACAACCAGTCAGGCGCGTCATCCCGTCATCCCTTTCTTCGGAAAACCCAACTTCCCAAACGGACCCACCCAGTCAGGCTCCAACGGACTCTCAGTTCGCTATAGGGTTTTGACCCTCACTACTACTAGGATGTTGGACTGAAGCAACATGCAAACCGTAACAGTTGCTTCGGGTTGGTTCGGGTCGCCGGCAGTGAGTTCCAGTTCGCGGTTCGGTTCGGATCGGCTTTAATTCGGTGGGGTGGTCGGCGGAATCGGTCAGACCACGACAAGGCAGAATGCCACCAGTGGATGGTTCATGATGTGAGCTAATGGATAGCAATGGGTTGGTTTTGTTTGTCACGTGTGTCACAGGTTTATTGGTCTTGGACAAGAAAAAAGATGTGACACGTGACATTTGATATCCCAGGCCATCCAAGGTCACAGCGTTCAAGGCCTTGTGCTTCAGTGACTCGGACCGTGCTGAACTCGGACCGTGCAGCTCCAAGTTATTGAGCTGTTGATCTTCAAGTCTAATCCGAGCTATTAAACCAGCTAAGACTGCTGTTGTCTCTGAAGATCAACAGCTAAACTAGTGGATCCCAGCAATACCATGAATTGCTCGGTGGTCACTGGTCACTTCCAGCTCGACTCCAAACCAGTTTGATCCAATTTGGGCCCCTGGTTCCTTACTACTCGCAGCCAAGAGTAGTACTCTCCCTGGAATTAACATGGAAGTGGAAAATGGTCTTCCAAGGGGCCATTCTCCACTTCCATGTTAGTTCCAGGGAGTCTAAACTCGGGGCGCTGTGCCGTGCTGCGTACCGAACCATGCCAGGCAGGGTACGACTCGATGCCCTCTCGCACCGACTGTGAGGCACCGGTACTTTAAGTAGGGAGGGAGAGAGCGAGAGAGAGAGAGAGAGAGAGAGTGAGAGAGAGAGAGAGTGAGACAAGGACTGGGGGTACAACTTGGAAGGGCGGATTCAGAATGATTCAGATGGATTGGGTGCAGCTGATTCTTGAATTTGTGGAATCCAAGAAGCTTTGTAGATGTCTTTGGAATTTGCAATGCATTGCAAGGAATTCGTCTATGTCGGTAAGGGATGGCGTGGACGCGCTCTGACGGTCCGCTGCATCCAAGTGAGGGGGGGCTTTATCAACAGTCTACGTTACAGAGGTTCCCCCGAAATGGTCAGAGCAAACAGTGCTGATGCTTCTGATGTGTCAGTTTGACGCCCGGTGACATTGTTGTCGCTGGGAATGCAAAGGGACAAGTAACAAGAAGCTACTAGAGCCAAGATATTTCACGTCTCAAGATCCCCTCCAGAAGTCATCAGGCCTTCTTTGGCCCTACAGCTCTGGCGAGCACAGGAGTAAAGCTCCACATTCATCCGAAGTCCTTTTCGAACCACTTAATGACTATGTGACTAGTGGACTCTGATCCTAGCTGGCTAGAAGCAACATTGATATCTTAATCAAGTTGCTCAAAAGTTAGCAGACAGGTCCCATCATATAACCTTTTACCATTTCTCGAGAGAAGAATCACTTGGACATACCTCGATATCATTCGATTCCATGTGTTTTTGTTGAGCTCCAACTACCTCCTGAGAAGATGGTTGGGGTGGGTGCCAGGGGAGGTCCAACCACCTGAGGATATGGTGAAGTTGCCCTAGGGGGACATCGGTCCCCACAATTTGAGCCTTACCGAGCGAGCCGTGCATCACCAGGGCGGCGACTCCGTACGACAGTTGTGCCTTGGCAGTGTGGCACACGTGGCTTGAGGAAGACAAAAGGCAAAGCTTGTTTGGCACACGTGGCTTGAGGATGTTAATTCAATCAACATAAATCAACTCTTTGTCATGATTGCTTGTCATGATTGCATACTCTTTGTCATGAACTCTTTGTCATGATTGCATATGTTGTACTTTGATTTCAAGGTCGTTTGTCTAAGAATATGAGTGCACGCGTGACAATTTGGGTAAACAGTTGTTTGATCCATTATATAGGGATTAATTGGAAAGTGCAGATATTCGTACATGAAACTCTTAAGGCTCTTAAGGATGCACATGACATGAGGTCTACCTCTATGGTTACCGAGCCTTCAGGTCCGGCCGGCGCATGGCGCTGCTACCTTCGGAGCTGTGCGAGCCCTCAGAGCAACGGGTTAGAAGATATGCGTCATGGTCCCTGCTCTGAGATGCGATCGGCACATGTAGCACTTCAGTGTAGCTCGGTGAAGGGTGAAGGGATGCAGCATCCATCCATCCATCCATCCCATCCCATCCCATCCCATCCCATCCCATCCCATCCCATCCC